GAGAGAATGGGCTGGGACATTCACCCAGAGATGACTGGGAGGAGCAGCATGAAAGGCAGAGAGATTCATGAAGGGCAGTAACTGAAAATAAGCTACAGACCCAGTGCTTATTAACAGCGATGGTACGAGACAAGAGAACCAGCCTGTGAGGGAGCTGACTAATGAAACCTGAGGGAGATACTGTTAGACAAAAACAGACTAACAAGGCAGTGGCCTTGAGAGTCTAGCACTGCGGCTTAACAAGAATGGATAATAAGGCCTTGAGAGCTTAGCACTGTGGCTTAACACAGCCACTCATGACAGTGCTCCCATCATCCTCCCCCACACAGCACCATGTATTAGTCTCTTAACTACAGAGATCTCGGGAAGCAGTTCAATTATCCTGTGGCCCTTGGATAAGAACTTTGCTACTTTCTAACACAAACCCATAAGACATTACCAAGGCCAGGAGAACATCAGGAAAAGGTTCCTACAGAAGAGGAAAGGCTACGGAAGTGTTGTATCTTGAGAGACCCAAAACATCTGCTGTGTCACCAGTATTGCTGGTTCTGCTCCAAGAAAAGGATTTTTACTGGATACCACTGAAGAGGACACCTGACTTAGAGCAAGGGAGCTGCTGTTAGGTATCTACTTTACTTAAATCTACCACCTCTGACTGTAAAAAAAAAAAATCCTTTTGGCCAAAAAGGTAGCAGGAATACTGTCAATGTCATATCAAAGCATTATTAAACATTCAAAGAAAGTGAAAAAAAATACAGTTGCCATGCAGTGCCTTTACTTACATCAGTTGTTTTAAAATAGCCCTTACAATTAAAGAAGAATCTCCTTTACTTTTCTTGCCTGAAGTAATAAGGGAAAAACTCAAAGCCTGCCAAAAAGCTTATACTTGAGAGCAACTTTAATCCTGTGAGTAGTTCTGCTGAAGAAAACGGAACTACTCATGGCAGTAAGTACCTGTCACTCTTCCAGCACTAAGTGACAGATGCAGAATATACCAAGGAAGTGATATCCTGTACAGGAATCAGCTACCATCTCGTGCACCTAACAGATTTTTTTAAGTGGGAGCAAAGAGCTATTCAACACACAGAGTAATCACACAGAAAAAAAAAGAAGTCTCTTCCTTGTCTCTGATTATTTATGCAGCAGTAATAATTGGTATTACTAAGAACAGGTAGAGAAGTCTTTGAGGCAGAAATGTTTTAAAGGACGCCCTTTAAGACAGATCAAAAATGGAATACTTAAATATACATTTCATACATTTTTCAGTCTTAAAATGACCAGCTACAACAGCAAAAACCGACTTTGAAAGGAAGTCTTGATTCCTTTTCCACAACCTCACGCAGGCATTTCAACAACTGCTTGCGACTTGATAGTGCGTGGCTTGCACCATATGGTCGTACCACAGAAATAAGCTTGAGGCTTTGGCTCTGCAGTCAGAAGTATGTAGAGATGTCAAGGATAAAGTCTGAAGAACTGAATTGCCTTTGAATAGAACCAAATGGTTCAAGGCATATCACAGCTTGGGTTTATTTAAGGGCTTGAAGAGCATTGCTTTCAAAATAATTCTGAATGTTCTTTATTCAGGTCTCCCCAAAGACAGGAAAAAGATCTCATGCTTTGATTCAACAGACATTTTCTTAAATTAGTGTGTTTGTGCACAACTGTCAATTGTAGCCCAATTCAACGGCTGCCAGAAGAGACACTCCACTACAAAATCCAACTGGAGTCTGTAAAAACACTGCTCTGTCAATGGGGGAGTTAAAGGCTTGGCCTTGGGTAACTGATACCACCAATCTTCCCCTGCAATAGCTTCCTCCTATGTCCTGATCCATAAGATTCCTTTGAAATTGCATTTCCAGTCTCGCTATGTTATTCTGTACAGTGGACAACTTACAAGAGAGAAAAATTCGACTGGTTCAAAGTTGTTGAAGGAGCAACCACATTAGCCTACATCGTCCAAGGAACAAAAAGCAAAACTTCTATTTCTCAATGAAAAATAATCTTTGGTGAAAAATGGCATCTTTGTTGGTGTGGTCAGTGCCACAAAAACCAAGTGAAGGCCACAAGGCTCTCAGAATCAGAAGTCTTCACATTCTTCTGACAGATTCTGATTTTAATTCAGAATGTGACTTCGTACAGGAAAATGATACTCGCAGTTTTCTTTGTAAACATCCTCAGCTCTGTTGTAATGACTGTGGTAATGTGGATTGAATGCAGAAAATATATTTTATAATTTCTTATTCACTCAGCTGCTAAACCACCAAATGATCTACATGACATATGCACATGCTGGAGTTGCTTCATTTGTTATAATGTATAATTTCTCAAGAAGAACAGCTTTAGTTGATCTGCACTGCTGAATTCTAAAAACGCAATCTGCTTTGTCCTTATTTAAGGAGTACATCTTAGAATACACATGTGAATTATTTGTAAATATGATTGACTGACTTTTTTATTTTTAGCACGACATTCGGGCTCTGTCTTGTGGCAAGCTTACGCATCGGTGATGTACAATATTACAATCATTAAAACTGCATCTGAAGCTTTTTTCATGAACACAAGCCAAAGTCAATATCCCATCAGTTAAATAATGCATTTCATAATTACAGCAAATATTTAATTTTCGAACAAATATTCTTTTGCTCTCTTAGAATCAACAGCAGCAGTTAACATAATGGTTCACAATTAATAAGGACCCAGGAGAAAACCTCATACAACCAGTATTTTTCATCTACATATTTACAAAATTTCATCAATTATTCATGTAATATTTACTACTGGGAGTGGTGAATATGACAATCACCCCTGCTAGAGAACCAGTCAGTTCTCTTTAAAATGTTACAAGCAGCATAATTCAATTCTAAAACTGCTATACAGAGATTAAGGGACCTTTTTAGGACCTGAATCTTCTGCATGAAACTACCGTTTGCCATTCAGTGAACCACAATTTTCCTAATTGATCAACTCCCACACTCTTCCTCAGAAGCCTAGAGTTACAGTCACGGTGTGAATCACCCTGCAATTCCCATGAGATACCAAATTTTACTGAAACCTCTCTCTGATGCAGTAGTTACCTAGCAGCAAAACCTAGCAACCCTGTAGTATGAGATTAATCCCTGAGTGATCATCATAAAGTAGTATCTGAAAGATTTTCAGTATGCCATCCAAAGGTATATAAAAATACAACACAAAAATGCTCACGCTTCTACAAGAAAAGACCACCTAAAAGCATCGGGCTTTTTATTTGCTTTTTATTTGTTGTTCAGCACTGTCATTTGCTCAGCTCTCCCAACAAAGGCGGAAAGAACCCAGACCTACAAAGGGATGCAGAGACATTTAGATGTGATCAAGATATCCAAAGCCTTCTTTATCTGTAATTTAACATTCGAATGATGAAATCCCTTAGTCCCCACAGCTAGTGGCCAGGTGCAACATCCCTCAGGTATAGGTTCTGCTCAGTTGCTTGGAACCAAAGTCCTAGTGGGTCACTCAAACCAAACTCTTTATCCTCTTTCCCTTCTACAATATAGTCAGCACTTTCAGATCACCTCAGCATGACCAGGACATGCACAAAAGACAGCCAGACCTAAGGGTTTGTTCCGAGCTGTCCATCCGCACCTCACTCACCAATATACCGCCCACAACCCTCACCCAAGAGGAAGGGCATTACTCTCAAGGACAGGTACTATAGTGCCAGGAGGACAAAGAGCAAACTTTAGTTAGAATGCAGTATTTTCCCTGAGGGATGTGATGTCCTTGCTCCAGACCATGGAACGGAAAAACTGGAACGAATTTCCTACCTCCTCAGTAAATCCCTGCTACACCCCACAGGATCTCCTGCCAGCTCTCTGGGGCGGTTCCCCACTCAACTCACTGGGAACCTACGCGCTTCACTGTATGGCTGAAGACTCCACCAGGTGACCTGCGCTCGAAACATTTGTCTTGGCAAAGTTCCCTTGCAAACATAGCCTAAAGTGTCTAAACGCTCCCTGAGCCTTCACATTGCTTGTTTAGCATGCTCACATTCCACAGAGATGTACGTACACTGCTGAGGCTGGGCTTGGACACTGGTCAGGCACAACAGAACTAGAAACTCTGGGCGTACCCCAAGACTGCTATCATGCAAAGCGAGGTTAGAAGTGTGTGATACAGAGAATCCGCATCGTTACTGAAACTCTGTTAGTCCCCCCCACACTAAACATTAGGCTTTCCAAATGTATTTGTACTTAAGCGCTGAACTGGGTGGTTGCCTACTGCTCAAAAATGGTTTGGCATCCTTGGTAACAGCACTGAAAAGCTGCAGTCTTCCTTTGTGAAGAGAACAGGTAGGAGAGCATGAGCTGAGTGACAACTTTCCTGCTTTGCTTTACCTACACAGAGCAAGAAAACCTATCCTCCAGTGAGAAGGGGGAAGGTAATTCAATTCTGGTGCCAGTTAAGCTCTGGCTTAACAGATTCTTGCTGAACTGTCACCCACAAGTAACAGTTGTCACCAACCGGTACAATACAACTGGACCAGGAAGAGGGATAGCAAAGAGCTCTGGTACACATCCCTGAGCTGCCAAGTCATACATTTAACAACAACAACAAAAAAAAGCATAATGAACTATGACAGTGCTTTTAAAAGAATGGTTTAGGCACAGTGAAAAACAAGAAGCCAAAAAGAAAGCAAATACTCTTGTGGTTCTTGTCCTTCAATGTTAACAGGAGCTTTATGGAGGCCAGAAGAGCTACCCGCATGCAGCCCACACACGGCCTGGCCAGCCACGTTCTGAAACACCTTCTGAATTCACCTGCCAGTGAGCGATATCAAGCAATAACGCTGCAAGATTTGCTTTTGCTTCTAAGTGCTAAATACTGAGCTGTTACACCATTTATTTCTCCCATGACCAGCTGTACCCACAACAGCCACTCTGTCAGTTACAGCCAGTTCTGACTACAACCAGCAACTGATTTTAAACACTTCTGTGAGCACAACATCTTCAGATAGCACTGCTTACCTTAAATCTTTCTGAAACACCTTCGGTGATGCTGATTGTGAATTCAGCTATTTTAGGAGTACGGAACTTTCCCTTCTTGCGATCAGGTTCATATTCTGTTTTCGTTTTGACCACAACCTTAAAAAAAAATAAATAAAACATCTGTCAGCTGAAACTAGCCACAGGAATCTTATTTATTCATTAACTCCTCTTTTACCTGCTTACAAGCACGTTTAGCACAGTATACTTCTGCACACACGCCACTTTGTACAATTCTTCTTTGAAAGCTTTTAGTTATTTTTCCTGTCACAGCAATCAACAAAGTTATGTCTTAAAAGTGTTTTTGATGGACATGCAGAAAGACTTGTTATACAACAGTTTCACACACATTCAGTTTTTTCAGCTGTGGTGGTACTGTGCTGCTATACCAGGCAAGCATGTACTTAGTTCATCAAATCATGAAGCTTCCCACTTTGGATAGTCTGAAAATAGCTAACTCCGTTTGCTTCAGAAGATCCCATTAATGAAATTTCAAACTGGAAACCAACAGGATGAAGTGATTATTGAAGACTGCCCACTGAAATCTAGCCGATGATACCACCAGTAGCCATGTTCTTTGACAGCAGGATTTTGAGTTTAAAAGACACAAAATGACCAATCTAATTGTTATTTGCTATGTGCTAGACTATAGTTCTTCACACTCTTATTTTTAACATCTTTTAAATTATTAGCTGCAAGAAGCTAGACGTACACAAACCCTTGTGTTAATGAGACTTCTTGAGACCCAAGGCTCCTTAATGTCAGCATAAGCTGACCTTGCTGTGGGCTGCTGCCCCAAGCTACACAATTTAACACTTTATCTGCATTCCTAAAATATTCATTAGGTCAGTCATATCTCCCATGCTCTCCTAGGCATTCTAATTGTACAAAATTTTCACATACCTAACCTATTTGCCTCATTTTTGTCTTCTACAATTTTTCAGGATCTTTTTTAAAACGTATCACTCTCAAAACAGAATGCCATTTAGCATACTGATGGTACTATTAAGTTTTGCTCAATTTTCTCTGTTGTTCCAAAGAATAAATACCTAGACTCTTTTACAGAACCAGATTCTATCTTTATAGATAGATTCTGAAATGAAGGCTGTGACACTTACAGGTAGCCAGGCACTAAAAATTAAAGCTTTGAGCTTGTCTCTCCACAATTCCCTGGAACAGTATCTAGAACGTGTCACTGTACCTAGACTCAGTACCACAAAGCCTATTAGGCACTTTTACAGCCTTATACATATATGTGCAGGACATAGGTTTAGAAACTACTTTACCTATTTTCAGCTGTAATTAATAAGATAATTATTATTAACTTTACAGCTGCTCAACAGCATCATGGAAGCAAACCATGTGAAGATTTTTTGAATGCTTTTTAACATTTTACTTCCCTTCCTCCCCCCTTTATGTTGCATAATCTCAGGCAACTCAAATCACATTCAGCTGACACTGAACATACAGTTCTATCTGCTTGGTTATGTAATGTCTTCTTTTGTTTAACATACCTAAATATGAATTTAAATCAGTTCATCCCTTCAATTTAGAAGCTGTCAAAATCATCAAATTCTTAGCTGTAGTCACTACTGTTCAAGAAGTTATGCTTCACTGCCACAGTGGAGCCTTGTAAGTGAATAATAAGCATAGATATATGAAGTATGTACGACATTATACAGGAGTGTCTTTGTACTTGAAAATTTGATCTGTGTGTCAATCTTGACTTAATACTGTTCCTTTTTTTTTAACTCACACCAGTTGCTCTACTACTGCCTTTGAGCCTGTAGCAATCAGACACACTGATATGACTAACAGTTACAGAAGGAAACCAGGAAGGCAAATAAATACATGGTTTTATTTTTTTCCCCTTTATGTCTGCAAAAGAAAAGGAAAGTTAATACATAAATAGACAGCGGGGAAAGTACGAATCAAATATTCCTTTATTTAAGCTTCTAGCCTAGTTGTACATTTGCTTCGGTTCAAGGCAAACACTGTGAAGGTGGGAGGTGTTCCACCCCGTTCTAGCAGGAGCAGTGAGGCTGGCACAGAACCTCCTGGCTCTGCTCTGGTTAAACCTGTTCCCATGCAGGCCCCGAGCTCAGACTTCTGCTCAGCAGTGCAGTAACACAACAAATTCCTCTGGACATTGGTCCCTGGTAATCGGTTATATCCACTCACCAGTTGGCAGGCGTATCAGACACAGTAAGACTCAACTTGTTTTAAAGCCTTAGGGTGCAATTTTGTCCTCAGCTACAAGATTTACACCCACGTAACCAAGGGCAGAAAATGGACCCTCAGGCTCTCCAGCAGCTGTTACGGCTTATTGCGTTTATGCCTGCCAACTGGTCACCATGTGCAACACAGAACGATGCTGATAGCAATTAAAATGGAGGTTGCAAATTTATTTGTGTTACCTACAAGCAACACTCCACAGAGGCAAATTTCACAAGGTGAAGTATTTTACCCCAAGATCAGATGATGTCATTTTTATTTTAAGCTGTGAGGAACACATAGCTATCTGTTTATCTAGAACTAAAATTGATCTCGTGGAAAAAACAATGCCCAAAATTACTATGATGAAGGATGAAGGTATTACTAACCACTTCCCAGTTAAATTATGTATTTTTCAAAGACTGCAAAGCGTTTTTGCCAGATGCATATGTGAAAAACATGCAAGCAGGTATACTACTAAAATAGGATACTGAAAACCAGAATATTGAAATATCTAAAAAAGTATCCTACTACAGTACACCTTGCCTGTAGTAAAACTTAACTGAATTCTTGATTGTGAGCAGAATACACACATTTAGAGGCAATCATATTACCTTCCTAAATCCTTACAATTAAATCCTCAGTAATGGAGCCATGTAATGAGGAATCCAAGACCATATTTCCCTTCTAACCTGTGAGCAGCATGTTGGACTGATCCCTTCCAGCTATGGAGCGTCTGAATCACCTATTTGGAGGGGTTTTGAACCAATTAAGTTGCCAAGAAGAAAACTCAGTGGCCTGTTCTCATCTTGTTATTTCAGCTTGCCTGGTTAGCATTAATTTCCTACTGCAGGAACATGGAAGTTCTTTCTCTCTGTGGCCAGTTTGCTCATGCACACCTTGCAGAGAAACAAAGCAGTGTTTTATTCCTCTGTTAGGGGGGACAGAGAAAATTCACATCGTTCACAGAGAACACACAGTACATTCCAGATACAGAAAAGACAAGTGCAGAATAGGAAGGGCTATGACAATACACCACAGAAAAGCCTGCATTTGCACGTTTATGTATTTCATACAGCAGCACTGAAATGAATATACGCTCACTGCGAACATTTCACACAGCATTTTAATGCAAATTACTACTAGGGGATTTTCATTAGCTTAACTCGTAGGGTTTTTTTCCCCAGAGGGAACTAGGATGCCTGAAAACACCCTGTATTTCTTGACATTTCTAAGCCACTCGTGACATGTAACCTATTCTTTTGTTGTTTGGCCAAGATTTGGGTGTGATTCTCCAGGGTGGAAACTAAAGCCTACTGTACCTTATCAGGAGGTGGGAACTGCAGCTGATTGACATCCAGGGGTGTGATCAGGGGGATGGTGTCAAATCCATCCTCCAAAAGGGGCTGCTTTGTGTTCTTCTCGCTGAAATTATTCCCCAGTTTCACCATTCTTCCAGATAGAGGGACCTTCTGCTGGCAAAGGCCGACACAGAAGTGCAAGATGTCAGAAACTCGGCAGGCACCCGACCCTTCCCCAGTCCCCAGGGGGCCCGGAATAGGTTAAATAAATAATTAAATTTTTTAAAACATGATGCGTTGATCGCTGTGACTCGGTTATGTTTTGGACATCTAGGGAAGCAACAACGACGGTGGGAGCTTTCACCGTCAAAATTATGAAGAAAAAAAAACACCCGAAAGACAAAAAAAACCCTCAAAGCACCCCAAAATCCACCCAGCCCGATCCGACCCGTGACTTCCCGCATGGTCCCGGTGCAGCATCTCCCCTC